CCTGAATAGACATTTCTTCAAAGAAACATACAGAAGGCCCATAGACATATAAAAAGATGGTCAACATCACTAATCAGGACTTCTGGCCAAGATTGAGGCATAGGTAGACACACTGTGCCTCCTGGAACAACCAAAATAAGGACAACAATTTAGAAACAAAGTAACAACCAAAAGTGAAAGAAAATTGAACTGTATGGAAGTCCGACAACCAAGGAGTTAAAACAGACACATTCATCCAGACCGGTAGGCGGGGCGGAGTTGGGCGGCCTAGCAGAGAGGGGTTGTAGCACAGGAAGCAATGACACCAGGCGCGCAAGGCACCCTGGGTGCACAAGGCAGCACTGGGCAGACCGTGGGACCCAGGTGGCGACTGGCAGACCCCAGGTGTGGGGTGGCAACAGGCAGACCCAGTGAGGGGGTGATTGAGAAGCGGGGCACTGTGCACAAGGTGGCTGGCTGACCAGGCAGGGGTCCCACATTCAGGCAGATAACTGGGGAGTGAGACAGATGCGCAACCTAGGGTCCTAGCGCTGGGAAATAAGGCCTCAAAACACCAACTGAAAACTCTTGTGGGGGGTGAGGCATAGGGAGAGACTCCAGCCCTCATAGGAAAGTTTGTTGGAGAGATACACAGGGTCCTAGAATGCACACAAGCCCACCAACACTGAAATCAGCATCAGAAAGGCCTAGTTCATTGGGGGAAGCAGCGGAAGGGACTGAGGTGCAACAGACAGCAGAGTAAAGTGCCATTTTTCCCCTCTGAGACCCCTCCCCACATATAGCATCACAGCTACTTGGGTTGCCCTGCCCTGGTGAACACCTAAGGCTCCTCCCCTCATACATAATAGGTGTGAACAGACCAAAACATTATGGCTCAAACAGAAAAACAGCTCAAAGCCCCAGAGCCAGTACTTCTAAGCAGCAAAGAGATAGCCAACCTATCAGATGCACAGTTCAAAACACTGGTGATCAGAATGCTCACAGAACTGGTTGGTTTTAGTCACAAATTAGATGGACAAATGAAGGCTAAACTAAGTGAAATGAAGGGAAATGCACAGGGAACCAATAGTGATGGAAAGAAAACTGGGACTCAAATCAATGGAGTGAACCAGAAGGAAGAAAGAAACATTCAACCAGAACAGACTGAAGAAACAAGAATTCAAAAAAATGAGGAGAGGCTTAGGAACCTCCAGGACATCTTTAAATGTTCCAACATCCGATTTATAAGGATACCAGAAGGGGAAGAGGGAGAGCAACAAGTGGAACACTTATTTGAACAAATAATAAAGGAGAACTTCCTCAATCTGGCAAAGGAAATAGACTTCCAGGAAATCCAGGAAGCTCAGAGAGTCCCAAAGAAGGGTGGACTCAAGAAGGAACACATCAAGGCACATTGTAATTACATTAGCCAAGACTAAAATGAAGGAGAGAATCCTATAAGCAGCAAGAGATAAGGAGACAGTAACCTGCAAAGGACTTCCCATCAGACTGTCAGCTGATTTCTCAAAAGAGAACTTACAGGCAAGAAGGGGCTGGAAAGAAGTATTCCAAGTCATGAAAGACAAGGACCTACATCCAAGATTGCTCTATCCAGCTAAGCTTTCATTTAGAATGGAAGGACAGACAAAGTGCTTCTCAGATAAGGTCAAGTTTAACGAGTTCACCATCACCACGCCCATATTTTATGAAATGTTAAAGGGACTTATCTAAGAGAAAGAAGATAAAAAACATGTATACTAAAAGGACAGCAAACTCACAATTACTAACAACCACACCTAAAATAAAAACAAGCTAAGGAAACAACTAGAACAGAAACAGAACCACAGAAATGGAGATCACATGCAGGGTTAGCAACAGGGGAGTGGGAGGAGGAGACGGGGGAGAAGGTACAGAGAATAAGTAGCATAGATGGCAGGCAGAAAATAGACAGGGGAGGGCAAGAATAGTATGGGAAATTAAAAGCTAAAGAACTTAAGAAACATGGACATGAACTAAAGGGGGGGAATGTGGGAGGGAGAGGGTATGCAGGGTGGAGGGGAATGAAGGGGGAAAATGGGACAACTACAATAACATAATCAATAAAATATATTTTAAAAAATCACTTATCATCAGAGATGTGCAAAATTAAAACTGAAATGATATATCAACTCACACCTGTCAGAATGATTGTCATCAATAAATCAACAAAGAAGTGTTGGCGAGGTTGTGGAGAAAAGGGAACCCTCGTGCACTGTTAGTGGGAAAGAAGACTGGAGCAGCCACTGTGGGAAGCAATATGGAATTACCTCAAAAAATTAAAAATGGAACTGCCTTATGATTCAGGGATTCCACTTTTAGGAATATATCTGAAGAATCCTGAAAGACTTCATTCAAAAGCATAAATGCAACCCTGTGTTCACTGCAGCATTATTTACAGTAGCCAAGATTTGGAAGCAGCCCAAATGTCTATCAGTAGACGAGTACATAAAAAAGCCACGGTACATTTACACAGTGGAATACTATTCCACCATAATAAAGAAGGAAATCTTACCCTTTCCAAAAGCATGGAAGGACCTGGAGAGCATTAAGCTAAGTGAAATAAGCTAGAGAAAGACAAGTATCATATGATTTCACTCATATGTGGAATCTAATGAACAAAAACACATGGACACAGACACAGTGTGATGACTGGGGCAGTGGAGGGAGGAGGCAGAAGGTATGGGGGGCATAAATGGTGATGGATGGAGATCTGACTTCAGGTAGTGAACACACAATACAGTGCACAGATGACGTGTTGTGGAATTGTGCACCTGAAACCCGTGTAATTTTGTTAACCAGTGTCACTCCAATAAATTCAATAAGGAAAAAACAAAAAGTCATTGCCAAGATCAGTGTCAAGGAACTTTCCCCCAATGTTTTTGTCTAAGAGTTTTATGGTTTTAGGTCTTATGTTTAAGTGTTTAATCCATTTTGAGTTAATTTTTTTCTGAGTGGTGTAAGATAGGGGTCCAATTTCTGCATCTGGTTATCTTGTTGTCCCAGCTGCATTTATTAAAAAAACTCTCCTTCCCCTATTAAGTATTTTTGGCTCCCTTGTCAAGTACTTGAGGATTTAGCCCTGACTGCTGTGTCTCAATGAATTGGGTGTCATTCTGCAAAGCTAAAGGTCACTGGTTTGATTCCTGATCACGGCACATGCCCAAGTTGCAGGTTCCAGTCCCTGGTCCAGGCACATACCAATGGTTCATTGATGTTTCTCTTTCTTTCTCTCTCCCTACCCCTCTCTAAAATAGAAATATTTTTAAAAAATATGCAAGTATTTATTTCTGGCCTCTTGATTCTATTCTATTGGTCTATGTGTCTATATTTATGCCAGTACCATTGCTGTTTTTGTTTTTAATGCTAGAGCTTTGTGGTATAGTTATAAGTCAGCAGGTGGGATACCTCCAGCTTTGTTCTTTCTCAGGATTGCTTTGACTATTCAGGGTATTTTGTGGTTCATACAAATTTTAGGATTGTTTTTCTCTACATATGCAAAATATGCCATTAGAATTTTGAGAGGAATTGTATTGATTCTATAGATTACTTTATGCAGTATGGACATTTAAATAATATTAAGTTTTCTAACCCATGAACACAGGATATCTTTCCATTTTCGTGTTTGTTTTTTTCAAGCTCTTTTAGCAAGTCTTATAGTTTTCAGTGTATAGATCTTTCATCTTCTTGGTTGAACTGATTTCTAAGTATTTCATTCATTTTGATGCTATTGTGAATGGCCAGTTAGAGTCTTAAGAAGATAATATGAATCAAGTGGAGTTGAATATTTTTAAAGTAATGTATAAAAGGGAAATATTTGGCATAAAATACTTGGGGATTTAAAAGTGAGAAACATCATGAGGATTTAAGATGTTTTATAGGGACTTCTCTCTGTGATGTGTACTTTTCATTTCTGATTATTGGTTATTTGCCCTTTTTTTTCTTCCTGGATTAGTCTTACCAGGAAGCTGGTTTTTTTTATTGTTGTTTGTTTTTTGAGAATCAACATTTACATTTATTTATAATTTTTTTCAATGAGTTTACATTTAATATTATTCTGTATTAGTTTCCAATGTACAGCAAAGAGGCCAGAAAATCATGGACTTTACAGAGTGGTCCCCCGCCTCACTGCTTCAAGTACCCAAGAACCCCCCATTTTGTTTGTTGATCCTTTCCCTTGTATATCTGGTTTTTCTCTCTTTAGTTTATATTCTTAGATTCTTTATTTCCTGCATTCTGTCTTTTGAATTTATTTGATTTGACAGAGCTTTAGATTACTGATTTTCCAACATGCTTCCTCTAAGAGGCCTTCTTAAAACCCGAAAGTACTACTCCATTGAGAAATTGTATCCTAGATGCCTGATTAGTTGTTTTTGCCAGTTGGCAATTTATGCACATAGACAGCTTATGGAAACACATCCACACTCACTTGTTTATATATTGTCTATGACTGTTTTGTGCTGCAAAATGGCAGGGTTGAATAGCTGCACCAGAGATTGTATGGTCCCAATCTCAAAATATTTACTATCTGGGTTTAAGAAAGAGTTGGCTGATTATCATATTAGACACTAAACTATGTGTAAGCCAGGACAATTTTTTAGCTTATATTTTGCCCTACACCTGGGAAATAGTGTGTACTAAATTAATACTCATGAATTAATGGAAAAGGGCTGAATTTGTCAAAAGTACCTTAGATTTCTATAGTGCTTTTATTCTCAAAGTCAAGAAACTGTATCCAGTAAACCTGTGCCCTAAGAATTGCTTTACTATCTCCACTGGCAACATCTTACATCTTTTTAAATACTTGTGAAAATTGAAGAAATAATAGATTAAAAAATGGAAGTTTTATAGAACTTTACCTCGTCATTGATAAATGCATTGGTTTATTCCGCTCTATTCTGATTACCCACATAATAGCCATCTATATAATAGATTATATAATTTATTGATGGCAAATGATATTCACAGGTCATATTTTCTTTAAGGTAAACAAAGCTAACTGTCAACTACCAGAGAAAACTTTCAACATAAAAGAACTCTCCAACTGGTTGAGCAATTATAAAGAAAAAAAAATACTGTTCATTATGTGTAATAACCTGGTAAGAGTTACATTTTTACTTCTGAATATTTTCATATTTTAAAGGGGACATATTAGTAACTATGTAGGTATCTCTTTGGTAAATCAATATCTGAAAATATCCTATTGCAAAGCAAAATTCTGTAAATCAGACGATCACTGATAAACATCTTTCACTCACATAATGAATACATTTTCTTAGAAATTTATTTGTAAGTAATTGGAGTCTTAAAAACAGACTCCAAAAACGTTTAAAGGGAAATAAGCTGTGAGGTAAAAGGATGAAGTTTTTCTCTTCTTTTAATTATCAAAACTGTTACTTTTTTGTTTTTTAGACACCCGAAAGAAACTGTCACATTATTCTCAGTAAATTTCCATTTATCTTTAATTTTCTATCCAAAATGAAATTATGGCAAGCTGATTCTGACATAAAAAAGGTGGTATGTATGCCTTACCTTTTTGTTATTATGTAAAATGTTAAACATATACAAAATAGAGATAATGGTTTAATGAACCCCATCACAAAGTTTTAGTCACAACATTTTGTCACACTTCAATTTATTACTTCTGTCGTTTTTGTAGTTGTATTTTTGCTGAATTATTTTGAAGCAAATCCCACGCCCACTTTCTTTTCATCTCTCCATGCTTCAGTGCATTATTTCTGGTTGTTTTATTTATGTTGAGATTAATCAGTGGGTTCAGTTGGTGACCACATGATTTTTCCATTGTAACGTTCCCATGGACTATTTGCTTATTTATTTATTTATTTATTTGTTTATTTATTTATTTATTTATTTTTAGAGAGGGGAAGGGAGGGAGAAAGAAAGGGAGAGAAACATCAGTGTGTGGTTGCTTCTCTCATACCCCCTACTGGGGACCTGGCCCATAACCCAAGCATGCGCCCTGACTGAGAATCGAACCAGTGACCCTTTGGTTCGCAGTCTGGCAGTCCACTGAGACACACCAGCCAGGCCATGGACCTTTCATTTAATAATTCCATCCATTGTTTTTGTTGAAGTTTGCAAAATAACGATATTTCTATGATCATTTATTCCAAAGTTATGAACTGAATCTTGTATAGAACTTTTCTCATCAATCAAGGATGTTTGGTTACCCTGAAAAATCATTCATATAGGTAGGTTGAATGATGGTTGATTCTTTTTCTTTAATCATTAAATATTCTGCCCTGGCTGGTGTGTCTCAGTGGATTGAGTGCCAGCCTGTGAACTACAGGGTCACTGGTTCAATTCCCAGTCAGGGCGCATGCCTGGGTTGTGGGCCAGGTTCCCAGTAGGGGGTGCTCAAGAGGCAACCATATTAATGATTCCCTCCCTCTGTTTTTCCTTCTCTTCCCCTCTCTAAAAATACAATAAAATGAAAATATTTTTAAATTAAAAAATAAATGTTCTGTGCATAGTTTGTACCAATTTATGTTACTACCAGCAATGTACGAAATGCTTCTTTTACTCTCTCACCAATGCAATGTTACCAAGCTTTGTGATCTTTTCCAATTCGATGGGTTAACCATGCTACTTCAACTTAATTTTAATTCACATTTCCCATTATTATAGGATGCCTGAGTCCTCACTTTCTTTAGATAATATCCCTTGTTTCCCTCCTATGAGCGATACTGAAATGATTGTGGAGCTGCTCTTTTCCTCTCCTCTATCCAGGTTTAGTGACTGTACTATATTCTTAGTTGTTAGTCTTTGGACTTTCATATCTGCTGAATCTTACAGGTTGATTTGTAAGCCCCAACTGATATTCTTTTATCTCCAGTGACTTTATTCTATTTTCCATGTACTCTCTCCCTTCTGTTTTTTTTCTTGTAGTTGTATTGTTCCCATATTACACTTACATGCTATTTTGTCTCTATCACCAGCAGCCTTAGTTCTCATTTATGCCCACCCTGTGCCCAGACATTATGCTAAAGATTTCCCAAACATTTTTTGATTGCTGAGGCTTGTTTTCTAGGCCATTCCTTTAGAAAGGTTCGTATCTATTTCTATGATGTTTATACTTTAAAGACTCACAGGAATCAGAAATATACCCATTGGCTTTGCTAATAATCTAAAGGATATGGACCATCTAAATGAAACATGGAAAAGCCTGGGATATCACACACACAAAAGGAGTCATTTCAATAATAAAACTTTTCCTTTTTATACCCTATTAATTATAGAGCTTATATGATATTTTCCAATGAGCCATGCCTGATAAACTGGTAAATGCAACATTTATTCACAGTAACCAAGCTAGAGGGACAAGGTACATCCTGCTAAAAGCAATTCCATTAGTAAGGACTCTCCCTCTAGTTACTATCATTAGTGTCTGTCATCAGATTTGACTTTTTCATCTCTATTTCTCAGCCACCTCTTTTTTCCCCCACACAAATATTCCTGCTAATGGGAGAAAATAGATTAAATCCTTCCTTCCCAAACCTAACTTCCCCTTACATTTCCTTTAAGTGAATCTTTCCCACTATGTTATTTTCTTCTATAACAATTTCCTGTATAACTTGTCTACTCTTTTAGTAAGGGCTGAATGGAGAATGAACCCAGGCAGGTTACATATTATGAAGGACTGGGAAATATCTGAGGACAAGAAAAACCTCTTAGTTGTAGTTGTCATGAGTGAGGTCAGCAAGCAGACTCAAGAATCCTGTCCCCCAGAGGAGAGATGATGGACATAATCAAAATTGTAAGCTCCAAACTAGATTATAAATTCAAATGCACAAATGTAGAAATGGGAAAGCAATACATGGAGAATGGGAGAACTGAAAGATAAGATATACAGGTTTCAAGTCCATTCTTGATTAAGTGCGAGAAGGCTGGGCCTACAGTAGGACTGACTACACCCCTCCCTGCTGTAGTCAGTGCAGGATATTGCTGGCCTCCCTGTCTCTCTGAGGCACAAAACATGCTGCTTAGCAGTCAGTATTGCTGAAGTGTCCCAGAGCTGCAGATTCCTGGGCCACAGGAAGAGATGACACACCACCAAGAGAGACCAGAAATGGCACTTGTGCCACCCCCCTACAAACTGTGGAGCTTGTTTACAACAAACATCTTGGGGAAAAGCCAAAAAAATCTCATGGAATCACAGATAATTTCTTAGTATATAGTGGTGGCAGAGATCTGGGACAGGGCTTTTCCAAGCCCAGAGCCACATGCACACTTCTTTGAGATGCTTGTAGAGTGCTAATATGGGCAACCACACCCAGCGTGGAAACATGGAATAGGATAGATATCCACCTGTCTTGCTGTCACTGTGGTGGCATTCCTTTACTGTCCTTGTGATAGAGCAGAAGCCCTCCTAGAGAAGTGTTAAATGTCGAAGCAAGGATACTAATTCCAAAGCTAGATATCTCATTCAAGAGAGTTCAGCAGAAACAAGACTAAAGTGGTGAGGACGTGTTGAGAATAAGAAAAGCTGAATGAAAGTACTATGTATAGTGACAGAGAACAATGCTAGGTACAAAATGAGGCCACCAGTGACATGTTTTTAGGAAGTTTCCATGCACATTTAGTAGGTGGATCATAGTTATTTGATGGAGAAAAGTGAATCCTTTCTGAGCAAGTCTTTCCACTAGTCTTTTTCCTATACCTAACATTATCCCTAAGCTCCTAAACTACCCTTAATATTCTTGAGGAACACTCTGCTTCTTAAGACTGGTGGGTAAATGTCTCAACGTGTTGAACACTCCTATTGCCGTTAAGGATCACGTTTAAGTGATCTAAGATAGCTTTTAATTACTTGGCTGTACATCCATGATGATTAACACCCTGCACACAATTACCAGGTACCACAGTTTCACACATCCTACCATCTTTTTATCTTCCATGGTGTACATATGATGCTCTTTTCCTTAAATAATTACAATATACGTATCTATAGCAATGGTAGGCATAATTGTATGTTAAACAAAATAGGTTTATTTGAAATATTAAATACTTTATGAGGATTCCTAAAATATTTATTTTTCTAGAAGCTAAAAAAGATTGTGCAAATGAGTCCGCCAGGAAAGAATGGATTCCCTACATCTCCCATATTTTTACTTCGAGTCAGAAGAAGCCACCTAACTGAAGATGCCCTGCGTCAGTTAAGCCAAGCTGAAGACACTGACCTCCGGAAAGAATTAATAGTACAGTAAAAAGTTTCATTAGACATTTTTATGAATGTGGGAGGGAAACATTTATATAATGTAGCAAAGGAAGAGCATGCATTTGCAACTATAGTTATCAACCTTATTTCCAGAATTCATCACTTATTGTTCAGAGAAAAGCTATGGGAGTTTAACTGAACATTGGAATTATGAGTTAACTAGTATGGCTATAACAATGCATAATGAACCACCCCAAATCTCAATTACTTAAAAATAACAATAATTTCTTTTAACTGCAATTCAGTTGAGGATTTGCTGATCTAGGTTCAACTCATCTGGTTGAACTCAATGTAAGCTAGGCCTGGCTGAGGCAGTCTGGCTCATCTTCCTATGTTTTTTATCTTTTTCCTGTGACTAGCAAGCATGTTCTTCTCACAGCAGTGCCAGAGGTACGAGAAGACAAGCCCAGTCACAAAACATTGCTTTAGTCAAAGCAAGTCACATGGCTGAACCTACATCCGGGGCTGGCAAAATATACTTAGCCTCTTTAATGAGAATTGCAAAGTCACGTGCAAAAGACGTGGGTTAAGAAGGAATGAAGATTGGGGCTGTTAATACAATCAACAAGCAGCAGGTGAAACAAATACTTTCCCTGCATTTTGGCTCTAGTTTTAGTTATAGAGTTTCTACTACTGTATTGGTTCTAACTGGCTATGTTTCACTTCATCCTTTGTGGGCACATGTAGGAATTTTATTTTGTGGTTTCCCAGATGATCTCCCAGATGATATTGAGGTCATAAAATAGTGACTAACTCTGTAGATTACAGCTATAGTCTTCGGAAGGGAGTGTACGTTCCTGACATCAGCCATAAGTGGAAGAGTTAGGCTCTCAGAGAAGAAACCAGAACTTGGAGGGTGAGACTCAGAAGAGAGGGATATTTCCCAGCATGGGACTCCAATGGGAAACAAAGAAACTCTTTTATAAGCCAGACTCTCTAGCTGTATGTCTCCCTCTGTACCTACTTTCCTTTAAATCTTGATTATGAGGAAATGAAGAGAAAAAGGGCCTACTTATAGCAGATGGCAATCAGGTAAGAAGTTAAACTTCAAGACAGATCCAATCAAAATACAAACTCTGAATAAAGCAAGGTTGTAAAGGCCTGTTATGAGTAGGTCCTGACCACAGCAAAGGTAGACCTGCTACAGTAAATGAGCAGAAATACGAACATCGGAAGTAAGCTTAATTTGTTACTGGGAATATCCAGATGGTATGTGAGGCAGGCCCTTGGAGATGATGGTCTTTGGCCAAAGAATCAGTGGATCAGAGTGGCCACAGATAAGATCTTCCGGGCAAAAAGAGAACTCTTAGTCAAGCTTAAAAAGATAAAGAGAAATTAGCCAGAAAGGAAGTAGACTTCAGAAAACAGGGACTAGTTATATTAATTTTCCACACAAGGGATATAGATAGTCAGGTCTGATGGTTCCTGCAAAGGGCTATTTATCAAAAATCCTAATGAGGGAGAGGCAGGAGATATATCATTTGCTGTCTGAAGCCAAAGTTGTAAAGTCTGAATGAAGGGATGAAGGCAGCAAGATAAAAGAACCACGGGATTTGATGGCTCAGAGTATTGAAGCACATCAAAATCTGGTTTAAGATGCTAGTCAACATAACTGGTGAATGCTAAGTCTTGCTGGAATCTCCATTCACTGATTCACATAACAGTGTAAAGGACCTGTACATTCAATACACAATAATCTGACAGTGAGGTTCATAGCTGCTCAGTAGCAAATTGAGAGAGTACAGATTGCAGTGAGGTATGGGGAGTGGGATTCTGGGAATTCTGGTGACTGTAGGAGGTTTGAAACTTTTCCATAAAGGTCAGGCATTATGTTTTAATGCTGGGAGTGTTCTCTTTCCTCAGATTGAATTTATTAAAGAAATTCGTTCCGTGGGTAGAGGAGTAAAGTCCGAGTTCTTCCACTGTGTATTTGAAGAGATGACCAAGTCAGAATATGGACTGTTCATATATCCTGAAGAGGGTTCCTACATGTGGTTTCCTGTCAACGTGAGTTTCTACTTATTTTCTTACAGTTTTTCAGAACAGAAAAAAAGTATACCAAATACTGCACCATGAGAATCATACATAATAATGTAAAATTAGGTCACAGAGAGCCTTGCTACTCAAAATATGGTCCACAGAGCAGCAGCTCCACAACCACCTAGGGGCTGTGTGAGAAGCAAAAGCTCAGACCCTACTCCAGTTCAGAACATGTATTTTATAGGTAATTCATAGGCATATTACATTTTTAAACATCTTAAATGAAATTACTTGAGATACAATAAACAGGATATTAATTGTCCAATTTGACGTTTCGATAGACATATATGCCCATGAAACTCTCACCATAATCAAGATAATGACCATAAACAATATCCCTCAAAGTTTCCTCGTATCCCTTTTTAACCTTACTACTCCCTCCCTGCCCCCTACCTCATGCCCCAGCAACAACCGTCACTCTGGAGTAGTTTGAATTTTCTAAAATTTTATATAAATAAAATCATAAGTAATCTTTGTGTCTGTCTTCTTTTACTCAGCATAGTGATGCTGAGACTCATGCATTTGTTGCATGTATCCATAGTTCACTGCCAACTTCACTGTCAACAGCATCAGTCACCTTCCCTAACTCATACGCTTGTCCCCATAAGGACACCTAGGTTGAAAGCCATACTGCCAAAGGGACACCACTCATCTGATACATATCTGACAGGCATGATGCCTGCTCAGAGTGCAAAGTTCACCTTCCCACAGTGTCATTTTTCTACATGAATTTGAAGGCAAAGACTGTAAAATTAAATATTGAAAACCTTACTTTACAAGGCTATCTGAGCATATTTTTATATTCCAGATATGCTGTTACTAACAAAAAGTAACTTCATTCATTTAGTATTATGAATTCTTAATTTTCCTTTTAATTTATGGGAGAGTTTTGAATTGTATTATTGCCTGTTTAAGAATCTCAGATTTTGGTGACTTTTGGTCAAGGTGGAGGCATAAATAGATATGCTTTGCCTCCTCACACAACCATAGAAAGAATTACAACTAGATCTCCCAGAACCATCAGGATATTGAGCTGTGAAGAAGTCTGACAACTAAGGATTTAATGAAACCATAGTCACCCAGACGGGTAGGAGGGGTGGAGTCACAGAGATGGGTGGAGAGGTATGAATATGGGGTGTGGCACTGAGAGGCAACCGCAGAACTGACCATCCCACATTCACATATGGTAGACAAAAATTGGGAGGGATACCTTGGCAGCAGGTGATCCCAGTCCTAAGCCAGATGGTACAGCCCAGGGTTCTAGAACTGGGAAGATAAATCTCCATAACTTCTGGCTGTAAAAACCAGTGGGGGTTGGGGTGGCAGAAGAAACTTCAGGTTTCTCAGGAGACTTGGTTTAAGGGCCCGCACAGACTAAGATGTACACATACCCACCCACAGAGCAACAGCTGGAAGGGCATCAGTTGTATACAAGAAGTGGGCGAAGTGACTAGAAATGGGGTGAGTGCCAGGCAAATCTCCAAAAGCCAGGCAGTGGCATTTTCCACTTTCCGAGCCCTCTGCCCACACAGAGCCACAGAGCAGTGAAGCAGTTTGGCCCACTCTGGCAAACCTAAGGCTTTGCCCCTCACAATTTTCAGGTGTCTTTTCTACAATAGGCCACACTACTAAGACTAAGCAGTCAAAGACTAAGTCAAAACACAGAAACAAACAGGGAGGCTTCCAAATTGAGGAGACAAAGAAATATGGCCCAAATGAAAGGACAGAACAAAACCCCAGAAAAAGAACTAAACGAAATGGAGATAATCAACCTATCAAATGCGTTCAAAACACTGGTGACCAGGATGATCAAAAAACTCATTGAGTATGGCAACAACATAAATGAAGAAATTAAAGTTACACTATAAGTGAAATCAAAAATCTACAGGGAACCATCAGTGGAGGGGAGGAAGCTGGGATTCAAATCAATGACTTGGAACATAAGGAAGAAATAAGCATTCAACCAGAACAGCAAGAAGAAAAAAAGAATTTTAAAAACAGAGGATAGTATAAGGACTCTCTAGGACATCTCCAAATGTACCAACATCCAAATCATAGGAATGCCAGAAGAAGAGGAAGAAAAAGAAATTGAAAACTTATTTGAAAAAATAATGAAGGAAACTTCCCTAATTTGGCAAAGAAATAGATATACAAGTCTAAGAAGCACAGAGAGTTCCAAACAAATTAGACCCAAAGTATACTATACCAAGACACATAATAATTAAAGTGCCAAACGTTAAAGATAAAGAGAGAATTGTAAAAGCAGCAAGAGAAAAGGAGACAGTTACCTACAAAGGAGTTCCCATAAGACTATCAACTGATTTCTCAAAAGAAACTTTATGGGCAAGAAGTGGCTGGAAAGAAGTATTTGAAATCCTGAAAGCCAAGGACCTACATTCAAGGTTACTCTATCCAGCAAAGTTATCATTTCGAATGGAAGGGCAGATAAAGTGCTTCCCAGACAAGGTAAAAGCTAAAGGAGTTCATCATCACCAAGCCCTTATCACCATGAAACATGTTAAAGGGACTTATCTAAGAAAAAGAAGAAGATCAAAACTATGAACTTTAAGATGGCAACAAATTCACAACTATCAACAACTGAATGTAAAAAAGCAAACAACCAGAACAGAAACCGAATCATAGCTATGAAGATCATTTTGAGGTTTATCAGCTGGGAGGAGGAAGGGTGAGAATGGGTGAAAAGGTGCAGAGATTAAGGACTATAATTGGTAGGTACAAAATAGACAGGAGGATGTTAAAAATAGCACAGGAAATGGGGAAGCCAAAGAACTTATATGCATGACCCATGGACATGATGAACTAAGGTGGGGGGATTGCTGGATTATGAGGGGTACCGGGCTGAGGGGGCCAAATGGGGAAAAACTGGGACAATTATAATAGCATAATCAATAAAGTGTTTTTTAAAAAGGAACCTCAGATTTTTATTTTCCTGAAGTCCATTTTGTTTCTAATTTGTGATTTTTAGAAAAGGAAACCCAAATCATTTTTTTACTAATGTAATTATCCCATTGGATAAAAGATGTAAGTACATTAGGGTTTTTTTTTCCCTTCTATTTTTCCAGACCAAATTTGAAAAGAAGAAATATTTCCTGTTTGGGATGCTGTGTGGACTCTCCCTATACAATTTAAATGTTGCCAATATTCCTTTCCCACTGGCTCTGTTTAAGAAACTTCTGGACCAAAATCCATCATTGGAAGATTTAAAAGAACTCAGTCCTATTGTAGGGAAGTAAGTAAATGATTTTTCCATGACTTTATCTAGTAAGTTTTAGTTATTTAGGCATAAATGATTTTACACACACAGACACATACAAGGTATTCAATTTCAATAATGTGTGTTGTTTAGATGAATTTGAATTTTACCATAACTAATAGTCAAGTAAACCTTCAAAAATGGAGAAAAGCCAAATGTTCCTCTAATTATCAACCAGTAAAATAAACAGAGCCTGGTCTCTTAAATGTATCCAGATGGAAACAGTTACTTTGGACAGTACACGATATTCTTAATGAAAATTCTGCATGCTCTACAGATTTTGAATAAACTGTTCTATGTTAAAAGGCAAACTGTATGAGGAGGGAGCCTCAGAAAAACCAGAATTTTTGTGGGTGGGCCCCTTGTAGTACAGACTGCCCCCAATAGGTGAGTGTTCTAGGAACCCATCTGTATCAGTGTACCAGCTGGTGTTAAGAGGCTGCATTTGGCTTCAGTGAATCTTTTTTGAAGACTTTCAAAGCATTTGCCCATTTTATGATGGGTGCCTTGTGAGTGCACCTGTCCACAATGCGCTGAGTGTTCAGCAGTTTTTGGCTAAAAAACTGCATGACCCACATTCCCCACCTTCCCTACTCACCTGATCTCGCCCTATGCAACATTTTTTGTTTCCCTGGATGAAAAAAGTCTTCAAAGGGAAATATTTTGCCAATGTGGTAGAGGTGAAACAAAAAACAGCAGAAGCACTAAAAGGCATCAAAATTGACGAGTTCAAAAGTTGTTTTGAGCTGTAGAAAAAAATGTTGATAGGTGTATTGCATCAAATGAAGAGTACTTTGAAGGTGACTGAAGTTTAAACATGTAAGAATAAATACACAATTTTTAATAAATAAATTCTTGGTTTATTTTTGGTTCTACCTCATATCCTGTGAGGTAAATATGTCTAACATATGATAGATAGTGAATTAGTATCTCTGATGTATAAATATACAGGGGTAGGCAAAAGTAGGTTAAATTACCTGCCATCGTTACCTAAAAGATAAATCATAAGTAAGAATGTAAAATAATAACAATAATAATAAGATAAGTAACACAAATAAATCCTATAATAATTAATAAATAATACTAGAAAAAACTGTTTTGTGTACTCACAGCTGTAAACCTGCTTTTGCCAAACCTTTATATGTGTTATTACACAAATGTATATATGGTTAATCAAAAAATGAAAATATTCTCAACCTTACTAATAATCAAGGAAATACAAATGAAAATAAAATATCATTTTTCTGTTTATAGATTGACAGGTATTAAAAAGGTTTTCATAAAATATAGAGTGGACAACAGATTGGAGAACAGGATTCTCCTCTCATGTACTGCTAGTGGGAGAATAAACTGACTAGATTTACACTGTGTGCTCTGACAATCTAGATCAGGACTTAAGGAACCACTGACACTTGTCTGGATCACCCTTGGCTGTGGAACACTGCGTTGGTGTTGGAGGATGTGGAGCTGCATATAGGGTCACTACCCACTAGATGCCAGTAGCAACCCTCTAACTGTGACGACAAAAAAATGTCTCCAGATTTTTCCAAATGTCCCTGGGGAGCAAAATAGCTCCTAGTTGAAAATCACTGGTTTAGAGGAAGCTGCTCGTTTTTGTCATTTCCACCCAGACACAGCAGTGCCTGTTTAGCACTGGTCCAACCAATCAAAACTAGTAAATAGAGGTTAACGCCAGGAAGAAGGAGTGGGATGGTGAAAGAGAAATTTACATGGAATTTTATACATTTCTGTAGGGCCCCAAATTTTTCCATTGAACATTTATTACTTTTCAAATGTTACAAAATCAATTAATATAATTTTAAACCAAACTTTTCATTAGGAGTTTGCAAGAAGTTCTAAATTATCAGGCTGATGACATGGGAGAAGCACTGAACCTACAGTTTTCTGTGAGTACTCTCAACTGACTGTCATTGGTGCCAGTTCAATGCCAACAGGAATTCCCAGTTTGGGGTGTGGTGAAGGGAACTTTATTTGGTGCAAATCAGCTCAACTGTGAACACAGCACAGCTGTGAGGCAGCCCTTGGGGCCAGGCCTCTCTCTGGCCACTCTGCTCTGCTTTGCCCCTTGCCGGTCAGCTTTGTGCTGTGCTGGTCTGCTCCACTCTGCTCCAGTGAAACATCTTCAGTGTTTCAACTCAACCAGGGAAACACTGTCTTCAGTGGAAAGGGAAAGCACCCTCTCTGAGCCATATGGGAGGTGGCTTATATAGACAGAAGTCCCAGCCCCTGGTCCCTGATTACTCCATCCTTATGCACATGAGGACTCCAAATCCTTGCAGTTTGAATGGTTCAAAAGGCACTGTCCTGATTGGTTGGTAAAGATGTTGATAGGGATATAGTTGTGGTGGCTCTGATTGGATGTGGAAAACCTCAGTCCTATTGCTTGAGATGGGATTCCAGGAACTCCTTCATAAGGTCTGGCTCAGATGGCCAAAACACAGTAGGTAGGCAGTTCAGTGCAGAGGCAGGTTAGTTCAGTGCAGGCTTCTCCCTGAAGTGCAGTTTGTGGGTCAGGCCCCTGTGTAGAAATGGCTGCTAGGCTGTTTTGTTTTTAAAGTTAGCCACAGGGAGCCCTTCTTAGGAGGTACCTTCTTTCTCAGGGTCCACAGTACTAATGAACACCAGATTATAGTTTAGCATTAATCTTTCTAAAAAATAATTTTATTGCAATGTCTCAGATATGGAATACATTTTTTAAATGTATTTTACCTCTGTACTGTAAGACTTTCCCTCTACCTGCTCCTCACTGTATACCTTATGTCTGTATTCTCTCAAATAAACTAAAAATACAAGGTAATTTTTCAACTGATGTAAACAACTAAATGGATTGATGCATGCTTAAAAGTATTTTACAACATGTAATGGGGTAGATTTAAAATTTTTATATGTATTTAAAAGGCTGAACTACATAAATAATTATTTAGCTCCAAGTTATTAAAAATTTTATAGGAAAGACTATATTGGCAGTAATAGTATTATGGTTAATTATTCGGACTTACTTTCATGTTTGCTACCTGAATATATTTTCTCATCACAGATACACTGGGACCAAAAGGATGTTAATTTAACTACAAATGAGATCTCTATACTTGTGGACCAAACCAACAAGTAAGTTTTGAGATCTAGAATATCTGCTTTGAATACACATTAAGCAAAATTTACATCCCTTTACTTTATAAATGTATTTTTTAGTTTCTCAGATGATCATTTTAGCTCTTCATCTTTTAGAAAGAGGAAACAGTTACAGGGTAAGAGAAGTGGCAAAAGGGTCAGAATTAAATATTTCCTTTGCAGCACTTTTCATTAGTTATTCATTTAACAATTATTTTGGAGCCCCAACTCTGAAACACAACTTACTTTAGGTATCGGAGATATAGCAGTAAAAAAGGACAAAATCTCGAGCTTAAATTCCAGTAGGACAGAAAAACAATACCTGAATAAATTATGGTTACATAATAGAATATCAGATAAGCCTGGGTACTCTGAAGAAACTTAAATCCAGGTAAGATTCTAGGGAGTTACACGTAGAAGTATGTTAGAATCAACTGGTACCAGTTTGAGATCTGACTTAAATTTTTGAAAATGTTGAGAGTTGTTTAATTAGTAAAGTGTTAGTAGCCTGAAATCAGCCATGGTGGGAATATTTACACCACAAAAAATTGGCAAGTGGTGCCATGAGCATTCCCTCTTTCTCTTTCATTTTGGAAAACTGATTGTTAAACATTTACCGGCAAACCAATGGTTATAAGGGTTTGCATTGGTTATAAGGGAGGGCAGCAAGGGGTTGATTTTGATAGGAAGGATGCTTAAAGGGTGGGAGATTATCATGTTTCCGGTGGATATCTAGTACAAATACCTTCAGTAGCAAACCTGCCATCAGGAAATTCTTCATGTAGTGGAGAAAACAGACTTCGAATAAATAATTTTCACGCAGTGACATGTATTGTAAGTGTGGAAGGAAAGAGGAACAGAGGACCCACCCTTTCAATATGCACATAGTTCATATTGAAAGTTATGTGCATATTGGACTCTGATGAGTGATACAAGTTGCCAGGTAATGAGGAAGCACTGCATGCTGTGGCCTAAAAACAAGAGGGTGAGGCCAAAGATTCAAATCGAATTCAAATGGGAAGAGGCTGTCGAGTTTGACAAAGTTCAGTTCATGGAGGGCTTTTTCAGTCTGCTGTGGAGGATGGGCTCAGTCTTTGAAAAGCCTTTGAAGGATTTTAAGCAGGACAATGATATATTCAGATTAGTGTTTTTAAAGTATCATCCTGACTGCAACTAGGAAATGAGAGCAAAACAAAGTCTTAATCCTTCTGCTGTATTTATTCTCCAAAGTTCCTTCTTCTAGCTGAGCAGATATTTTTACATCCCTGAGTAGTACTAGGTTGTCTGGTGTGCAGAGGTAATTTACTATTCTTTCTCAATAGTCACTGGTGAAGTTATGTTATTGGCCTTTTTTTTGGTTTGTTTTTCTTAAGGAAAGACTACATTTCCAAGTGTGTTGATTACATTTTCAACACATCCATAAAAGACATTTATGAAGAATTTAAGAGAGGATTTCATAAAGTCTGTGACAAGGAGATACTTAGGCTTTTCCATCCTGAAGAACTAATGACAGCAATAGTTGGAAATACTGATTATGACTGGAAACAATTTGAAAAGGTTGGTAATAACTAAAGTGCCCCCAATTCTTCTGAACAACAGCTATATATTCCCTTTCAAACCCATTTTTCTCCCTCTTTTTCTCAAGAATTCAAAGTATGACACAGGATACTGTGAATCACATCCTACTATACTGATGTTTTGGGAAGCTTTTCACAAATTAACTCTGGATGAAAAGAAAAAATTCCTCTGTAAGTATTACAGTAATAGATGGATCTACATATATATATATATATATATATATATATATATATATATTAGAATTTATTTCTTTATCTTTAGAGGGGAAGGGAAGGAGAGAGGGAGAGAAATATCAATGTATGGTTGCCTCTCATGCGTCCCCTGCTGGGAACTGACCTGCAACCCAGGCATGTGCCCTGACTGGGAATCGAACCGCAATACTCTGGTTCGCAGGCCCGCGCTCAATCCACTGAGCTACACCGGCCAGGGCTTACAAATGTGGATTTTTTATTTTTTAATTCTGTATTTTTCCATTACCATTTATCCTGCTTATAGTCCCCCTCTCCTCTGAAATCACCACACTGTTGTCCATGTCCGTGAACCCTTTTTCCTTTCTGCTTGACCTGTCCACCCCCTTACCCTGCACCCCCCACCACCCAGAACTGTCAGTCTACTCTCTGTGAGTCTGTCTCTATTTTGCTTGTTAGCTCAGTTTGTTCCTTAGAGTCCACATATGAATGAAATCATATGGTATTTGTCTTTCTCTGATTGGATTCTTTCACTTAGTGTAATATTCTCCAGGTCCATCCACGCTGTTGCAAAGGGTAAATTTTTATTCTTTGTTATGGCCAAGTAGTGTTCCATTGTGTAAGTGTCCCATGGTTATTTTATTCATTCATCTACTGATGAACACTTGGGCTGCTTCCAGATCTTGACTATTGTAAATAACACTGCAATGAACATAGGAGTGCTTGTGTTCTTTGGAATTAGTATTTTGATTTTTTTTCAGATACATTCCCAGATATTTCTTTTGAAAAAGTAAATACTTGTGGTGGTTCATTTCTGTTAACAGTAAAACAAAGCTTATAACCCAAGTTCCCTACCTTCTAGACCAGTGTTTGATCTTTTACATAAGCTTGTTCCCCATTAAAAATGATACTAAAGATATCACTATTTTACTACATTCTCAACACTGACTCTAATTCCACCTTCAATTTTAGTGTGCAACCACTTTCCTCAGTGTAGTTGGCTTCTAAATCAAGCCTTTTTATCTTACATTCCCATCTTCATTTAATTATTTAATTCCTATGAAGTTAGGACAATGTAAACTATCTCTAAGAATATTTTAGAAATAATAATAATAATAGCAGTGACCACTGATAATAACAGCATTTATTGTTTATTCTTTGCCAGGCGTTATAGTGACCACTTTGTATCTGCTGTTTCCCTTTATCCTCATAGCAACCTTATGAGATAGGTACTTATTTTTTCCCATTTCAGGTTTGAGGAAAAAGAGGCTTAGAGCATTTAGTAGCTTGCCTATGTTCAGAAAGCTGGTGAGTGTCAAAACCAGAATTTGAACCCAAAAGCTGACCCAAAGCCTAGGCTATTGACCACTAAGTTCTGTGGCCTTGGGCTATGAGAATTCTTAGTGGGAACCATAAGGGTTCTCTAAAATAGAAATGACATTCTCTCACCACCTCATCCCATTTTCAGTTCCTCCTCTGATACACAACTTTCTTCTCAGTATTTCTGTTGCTACTGAGGATGCTGGAGGACAATTCCAACTTCTCCACAAACCCAACCAACCTCTCCACAAGCCCAGACTACTTTTATTTTTTAATTTTTAACTTTTTTATTTTTAAAGTATTTTTATTGATTATGCTATTATAGTTTTCCCAATTTTTCCTCCTTTATCCCCCCTCTACCTGCTCTCCAACCCTCCTGCATTTCCCTCCTTAGTTCATGTCCATGGGTTGTACATATAAGTTCTTTGAGTCCTCGTTTCCTATACCATTTTTAATCTTTCCCTGTCTATTTTATGCATACTAATTATGCTGCTTCTTTCCTGTACCTTTTCCTCTGTATTCCCAATGAACTCCCTCTGTGTGATGTCATTTCTCTGATTCTGTTCCTGTTCTGGTTGTTTGCTTAGTTTTTGTTTTTGTTGTTGTTTTTCTTTTAGGTCCATTTGTTAATAATTGTGAGTTTGCTGTTATTTTACTGTTCGTATTTTAATCTTTTTTTTCTTAGATAAGTCCCTTTAATGTGTTTCATGGTGATAAGGGCTTGGTGATGATGAACTCCTTTAAGTTGACCTTATCTGGGAAGCACTTTATCTGCCCTTCCATTCTAAATGATAGCTTTGCTGGAGAGAGTAATCTTGGATATAGGTCCTTACTTTTCAGGATTTCAAATACTTCTTTCCAGCCCCTTCTTGCCTGTAAGGTTTTTTTTGAGAAATCACCTGATGTCTCATTTTCTCTTGCTGCTTTTAGGATTTTCTTTGTCTTTAATTTTGGGTAACTTAATGATGATGTGCCTTGGTGTGTTCCTCTTTGGGTCCAACTTCTTTGGGGCTCTCTGGAGTTCCCGGAAGTCTATTTCCTTTGCCAGATTGGGAAAGTTTTCCTTCATTATTTGTTCAAATAAGTTTTCAATTTCTTGCTGCTGTTCTTCTCCTTCTGGCACCCCTATAATTCAGATATTGGAATGTTTCAGGTTGTCCCAGAGAATCCTCAGCCTCTCTTCATTTTTTTGGATTCTTGTTTCTTCATTCTGATCCAGTTGGATGTTTATTTCTTCTTTCTGTTCCAAATCGTTGCCTTGAATCCTGGTTTCCTTCTTGTCACTGTTAGTTCCCTGTATATTTTGCTTTATTTCATTTTGGGTATCTATGATTTTTTTCATTTTTCGACCAAGTTCAATCGGTTCTGTGAGCATTTTGATTATAAGGGCTTTAAATGCTCCATCAGATAGGTTGGCAATCTCCTCATTGCTTAGTTGTGAGGTTTTGCTGTGTTCTTTCATTCGGGCCATATTTCTTTGTATTGGCGCACATTATAGGTTGTAAGGGGAGGGGCTTAGGTATCCTCCCCAGGCAGGGCAGCCCTCTTTGCTGCACTGCCTGTAAGGGAGGGGCCAGAGAGGGAACAATGCACAGCTTGCCTGCTGGTGTCTAGTGCACTCTCCAACAGACTCTGCTGTCAGACCGGAAGTACCTCCCACCATGGCACCCCAGCCTTAGCTCAGTCAGCTCTGAGTCTCAGTTTTCCCCTTAAGTCAGTCCCTGCTGTGCAGCTCCATGGAGCTGGGCAGCCAGCCCCATCCCTCACCTGCCTCGCCGTGGTTTTTCTGAGTTGACCTGTACAGTCCTCCTTATTGGTTTGGTTGTTTTGGTTGATTTTTTCCTTAATTCTTTGGTTGTCAGAGTTCCATGCAGCTTGAATTTCTGGCATTTTTGGCTGTTCACTGACTTTAGATTGGTTGTTATCCTCCTTTTGTTCATGTGAGGAAGCGAAGGGTTTCTACCTATGCCTCCATCTGGGCTGGAACTCCCAAACTACTTTTATGATCTTCTCTCTTAATGGGAAATGTGTACTTCAGCCCAGTGGTTCCACTGTGCGTACTTTCATATCTGTACATTCAAGTGAGTTCACATATAATTTAGGCTTTTCCTTAGGATTTCCTCCCCTGCTTTGAAAGGTTACTCAGCTCCTCTCCAAGAGAATTAATCAGCCATATGTGGCCTCTGTAAAGCCTCCCCAGCACAGCACCTCTCCCCCTGACTGGAGTCTTAGGGCTTTCATTAGCGCCTTCACCTCATACTTCTTGGCTGAGCTAAAATAAACTTTTCTGTATCTTGCTATTACCTTTTTATGTACAACCTGGGGGTTAGGGATGCTGATTCCCCCTGCCACGCACACACACAGAATCGAAAGTCTGTGTATAACTTTTGACTCCCCCAAAACGTTACTACCAAGAGCCTACTGTTGACCAGAAGCCTTACCAATAACATACACAATAGATCAACACATGCTTTGTATATTATATGTATTATATACTGTATTCTTCCCATAAAGTAAACTAGAGAAAAGAAAATGTTATTAAGAAAAAGGAAAATATATTTGAAAGGTTTTCTTAGGCTCCACTGAGGAAGAAATGCCAATCAGCCACAAAGTTAGGCAGTATAGAGCTTTACTGGGGTTTGCGCACCCAGGCGAGGTTTCCCAGCCCACAGAGTGGGGCCAGGGAAGTTGCACCCAAGCAGGGACTATGGCAGGGTTTTATTTTGGTTGGCTCTCTTTGTGGGAGCTGGGGATTGGTCCCCTTTGAACAAAGCGGCAATACATCATTGGTGGTTCTCCTTGGGCTCAGGCTGCTATGCAGATAAGGCCCGCCCTTTTGGCTCTCTGGTTTGACATCAGACGTCTTTTCCAGGTTGTAGTTCAGCTGTCGTTTTACCCTACCCTGCCCATCCTAACAATATTTATGGTATTTACTGAAAAATATCTGCATATATATATATATATATATATATATATATATATATATACCACAAAGTTCAAACCCATCTTGTTCAAGGATCAACTTGTATGTAATTTCCCCCCAACTAGACTGTGAACTCACTGAGGACAAAGACCAGATATCATGATTTTTCTGTGCTCTACATGGTCCCATGTAGGTCTCTCTGCACAAGGGTACCCAATAAATATTTACTGAACAAAGTGATTAATTTCCTCCTTTTTAAAAAATGTTTTGGTCTTGCTAAGAAATTTTTTTAAAAGATTTTATTTCTCTTTAGAGGGGAAGGGAAGGAGAGGAGGAGAGAAATATCAATGTATGGTTACCTCTCGTGCGTCCCCTGCCGGGAACTGGCCTGCAACCCAGGCATGTGCCCTGACTGGGAATCGAACTGCGATCCTTTGATTCACAGGCCCACACTCAATCTACTGAGCTACACCAGCCAGGCTCGCTAAGAAATATTTTAACTAAAGATTTCTCCTTTCCAGTTTTTCTTACAGGAAATGATAGGCAGACTGTAAGAGGATTACAACAAATGGAAATCATATTTCAATGTCCTGAAACTTCCAGTGAAAGAGATAACCCACAATCACTTGTATGTCATAATATTCTGCGCCTCCCTAAATATTCTACAATGGAAAGAATGGAGGAAGCACTTCGATTAGCCATCAACAGCAACAGAGGATTTGTTACACAGTAATAGTGATCTCTGAGAGTCTCAATGAGGCCTCAGATTCTCAGGCCACTCTCACTCATCCATTCTGATGTTCTTCTTAGGTCTAATTAGTACAAACGGTTGATGGATTTTTTTATTAGAATTAATATATGTTAAGATAAGCAATAAAGTGATGAATCAAGATAATATTTTTAATGAATCAACATTTCTTAATTCCTAAGCTTGCTATTGAAATATTTGTTTTTTAGTGAATTATTTCCTGAACAATTATAATTTTAAAATAAGCCAATTAAAAGCAAATAACTGTTTTTAAAAATACTGTGCATCTAATAAATACTGCTTGCAAATATGAAAGTTTGAAAAAAAATTAAAAATGTAAACTAATTCAACTCAAATTTGAGGCACATATATGTGTATTTTATATTTTGAAATGTCTCATTTTTTAACCAACTGCTACATAATTTATTTCAAAATCTAAATTTTAAGAGATTCATTAATTCATTAAATAATTACTTATGCTCAATACTATATTCCAAGAGTCATTCTTTATTCTTTTGAAAGATTCTATTTATTTATTCTTAGAGAGGAGAATGGAGGGAGAAGGAGAGGGAGAGAAACATCAATGTGTGGTTGCCTCTTGCATGTCCTCTACTGAGGACCTGGCCCACAACCCAGGCATATGCCCTAGGCTGGGAATCCAACCAGCGACCCCTGGATTCACAGGTCAGCACTCAATCTACTGAGCCATACCAGCCAGGTCAAGAATCATTCTAAGTATAGATATCATTATTCTGGTTAAAGGCTGAGCCCAACCAGAAACTCTTGCCTATATATAGTTAGGGAAATGGGAAGAACCTGAAATATGTTTCAGTATCATGGCTACAGAATAAATTTTTAAAAAGACGTAAGTATGGTTGGTGATGGCCAGTGAATTTTTTGGACCAATTAAATTTTAAGTTTTAAACTGTAAGTTGTTCTATGAATGCCTAGTTATCCCAAACCACACACAGAACCTTGTATTGATGGTAGTTTGGGAGAGGAAAGGCTATAGGGTGAAGTCCACATTGGGTGCTAATATGGAAAGAGGACAGGGTCACCTGAGGATAGACAGAATAAAGAATTCACCAAAAACACTAGTGAAGTGGTCATAAGCCCTCAGCAAATCCTCACGGTTAGTTTGGAGAGGTTTGGTTTCTACAACAAATGGAATGAAAGCAGAGATGTAGTCCTCCTGACTTTTAAGGGAAAAGGTAATTTTTACATCTTAAGGATCCCCATTCTGCTGACTTTTGGGTTGTGTTCTTCAGGTCTTTCACCCCGGACATTACTTTTTTCTAATGCAAATGGATGAACTGTACTAAACATTCTTTACATACTCTTTCAGAAAACAGAGAAAGAGGAAACACTTCCCAGTTAATTCTATGAGGCTAGCATTATCCTAATACCCAAACCGGACAAAGACATTGTCGGGGGGTAGGGAGGACTATGAATACCTTTCATGAACACAAACACAAAAATCCTTTATAAAATTGTAACATATCAAACATATCCAATAAACTATAAAAAGGATAATACTTTGCAACTAAGTAGGGTTTAATCCCAAAATGCATTTGAAAAGCTATTGTATTTTACCATAACAGACAAAAAGTCATATAATTACCTCAATAGAGGCAGAAAAAAAATTGACAAAATTTAATAGTTATTCATGGATGATAACTAGGACCAGAAGAAAACTTAACCTGTTAGAGCTTACACACAGCTAACTTAATACTTACGGGTGAAAGATATTGCTTTTCTACTAAAGTTGGGAACAAGGCAAGGATGTCTTCTGAGTGCTTCAACATTGTGCTAGAAATACTAATCCGTACTATAGGGCAAAGAAAAGAAAAAGAAAAGGCATGCTGGTTGGAAAACAAGAAGTAAAACTATCTTATTTATAGATTACCTGGTCATCTATGTGTTAAGATTCTAAAGGATGTACAAAACTATTAGAACTACTAAGTAAAAATTAAAAAGGTATCAGGATTCGAGGTAAATATATAAAAATGTGTTTCAATATATACTCAATAATTATAAATTGAAATTTTAAAAAGTATCATTTGCAATATCAACAAAGAATAAATACCAAAGGTTAAAATTGTTAAGGATAAATTTAACAAATTATGTTAGAATATTCATTTAAAACTAGAAAATATAGGTGAAAGAAATTAAAGATTTAAATTAACTGAGAGGGATATATATGAACATGGACAGAAGAATCAATATTATTGGCATGTCATTTCTTTCTAAATTGATCTTACTTAGCATAATTTCAAAATCCCTGCAGTCTATTTTTTAGAAATTGATAAACTGATCCTAAAATGTATATGAAAATGCAAAGGACCTAGAATAACTAAAACCACACTGAAGGACAATGGTGGAGCACCTGAGTGATTTTAAGACTTACTTAGAATCTACAGTAATCAAGGCAGGGTAGTGCTAGAGTAAAAATAGACATGTACATCGATAGAACACAATAATAAGTTCAGAAATAAATCCAATCATATGGATCAACAAAGTTTTGACACAGATGCCAAGGCAATTCAGTGAGGAAAGGTAAGATGGAACAATCGGAAATCTGTAAGGAAAAAATAAATAAACCTCTACCTTTTCTCACACCATAAGGAATAACTCATTTGAAATGTTACAAAGACCTGAAAGTATAAAACTTCTTGAATATTTAAGGAAATATTTGTAACCTTGGGTTAAGCAGATTCCTTAAGTAGGGCAAAAAAAAAAAAGGCATCAACTACGAAAGGAAAAAATATATACTGCATCCCAATTAAAAACTTCAACTCTTCAAAATACACTTTAATAAAATTAAAACATTTCAAAACATGTAATAAAAGAAACATTTCAAAACATGTAATAAGACTATAGAATATAAAGAACACTTATCAAGAGCTTTTAGATAATAAGCAATTTAATTAATAAGTGGGCAAATGCTGTGAACAGACAATTCACCAAAGAAGAGGTCAGCAATAATCCGCACATGAAAAGTTGCTCAACATCATGAATCATTAGGGAAATGGAAAGTACAGTAGGAGACCACAACAGACAATAGCTAAAATTTAAAAAGACTGACAATACCAAATGTTGATGAAGATACAGAGCGACCTGAACTCCCATAAATTACTGGAGGCAATGCAAAACGGGATAGCACTTTGGAAAAGTTTGGCAGTTTCTTATAATATTCATGTACTTACGATACATCACAATTCCATTTTTAGGTACTTACTTTTCTCTCCAAAGGAAAACATTTATCCACTAAAAGATTTGTTCACAAATATTCAGGGCACCTCTATTCACTGTAGTCAAAAACTAAAAGGACTGAAATGGATTGGTGAATAAATTGTGGTCTACCCTTATAACGGAATACCACTCAACAGTAAGAGGGAACTTTGAACGAAATTCAGCAGGATGAATCTCAAAAGCATTGTGCAAAATGAAAAAAAGGCATACACAAACGCCTTCGTACGTTTTATTCCACTTGCAAGAAATTCTGGAAAATACAAAAACTACATTGCCAGGCGCCGCGGTGCAGACAGGCTGCACAGTTATTTCTCCCTTTCACGTTTACCTCAAAGTTTAGCTCTCGTTACCTCAATAGTTCCGGGAAACTCTGCAAGTCCAGCCTTGTCAGAGCTCTTTCTAAAAGAAATTCAGTGTTTCTTCGAAGGCCATTTGATTCAGGAGTTCAAATGGTCACTCCCGCCCGGGGCCAAAGGACACTTTCTCCGCACCGACCGTCAACCTGAACACTTTCCATCTCCTGGTTTTCTAAAGGAGTTTCGGTTTCTTTTTCCTTTTCGGTTTTGGACCTGCCCCCTTAAAAAAACAACAATGCCTTTCGTTTCCCACGCGAACGGTCGGCCCCGCCCCCAAAGTAGACGTAGGGATTCCAGCGTCCGAGCGGAGGCAGATGAGTAGCGGCTCTTGTACCTCGATGCCGCAGGGCTGCGAGCTCTCCGGTTTCGCACCGCGACGCCCTCTTTCCTTTGGCCTCTCGGGCTACTGAACTTCCCTCTCCTCTGAAGGTCGGAACGGCACAAGTGCGGTTCTGGAGCCCTGGGAAGCGGCGATGGAACAGAGGCCACCAAGGATGTCGGCGGGCGGCTCGCGACCGGGGTCCCGTCCTCCCGCCGCGTGCCGGCCGTCGGCGGAGCCGAAGGGTGCGCAGCTCTGGCTCTTTCCCAGCGCCCCGGGCCTCAGCAGCGTGCTGTCGCGGAGGTCGGAGGAGACCCGCCAGTTGTGCTGTGCGCTCGGTCGCCTGGCGGTGCTGGAGCGCGGCGGGGCCGGCGTCCAGGTGCACCAGCTGCCGGTGGGGAGTGACGGCGCCAAGAAGCCAAGTAAGTGAGTGGGGCCGGGAAACGCCAGTTCGGCCCTCCGGCCTCGGGACGGGTTGTGAGGGTAGGCGTCCTGGGCTCCGCAGCGGCACCGAAACTTCTCTCCGGCGTGGCCGGAGTCGTGAGGTCCTTCTCTAAATGAGGAAAGCTCCTAAGTGGACACGGCGCGGCGGTGGTACGCGGTCGCCACAGAAACGCAGCGGGCCCGGGTTCGTTTCTCGCGTTCCGTGCCTGAGGCAGCCGAGAGCTCTCCTGGGTCCCGTACCCAGCCGGCGTGGGGTTTACGGGGCCGGTAGCGACCGCTGGACGGTCCTCTCCGCAGGGTCGCCGCGGGGAAGGAGAGCGTGTTCAGGCAGCATCTCCACTTCAGCCAGTCTGCCTTTGTCGTTGGTTTCTGACCCAAGTTTAGTTTTCACTTGCCCCTGTGTGGAACGTAGCGACTCCGAGTTTGTGAGCTTTGTAGAATACCGCGTTCTCGACGGCAGTGGTGTAACACTAGCCTGCGGTTGCACTTCTCCGACGGGGTAGTCTCCGTAGAGATGGAGTCGGGTACTGCGGCGCCGACTTCGCAGGTCGGGGAGAGCAAATGGCCGCGCTCGCAACTCTGAAAACTTTTGCCCCTCTGTGGAGGGAAGAAAATGATGATTTTTTGTTCGTTTTCCTTTTAACTTGAGCGAAGTGGAGCATCTTTTCTTTCTTTCTTTTCTTTCTTTTTTTTTTTTTTTTGTGAGTCATTTGCGATCCTTTTTGGTGAACTATCTGTTTGTGTATTTGCCTGGCTTTTTAAAAAATTTGAGTTTTTCTTACTAATAGGAAAGAGTTATATGAACATTAAGTAAGAATAGCCCTTTGTCTATCATATATTGCTGTAATATTTCTCTCAACTTGCATTTAATTGATGTTATTTTATAGTGTGCGTCATCAATCTATTATTTTAAGGAGGCTTACGGATTTTGTGTTATGTTGGAAAGCTGTCCATACCAAGTTTTTTTTAATGCGCTCATCTTTATAGAAATTTTAACTTTTTAGTTTTAAAGTTAAAATTTTTGATAACCTTGGCTGTTATTTTCATTTAAGGAGTGAGGTAGGGGGTATACATGTATTTGTGTTCTAATGGTCACAGGGTTTCCCAATCAATACCTTTTTTTTTAATAATGCTTTTTTTCAACTGATTTGAAATGCTGGGTCTCTAAAAATTGTTAGTCTGTTAGACCATTTTTTCTTTATTACCAAAGTGTTTTGTTTCTCCTAGCATGTATAATGTGAAGTGGTTTGTGCTTAGATATTTTACATGAATAGGTTCTATTTTCGACTTCATTGGAACTAAAGAGTGAAACAAGGCCCCAAATCTACTATATCCTACTTTAATTTTTGTGATAAAACTAAATGAGATAAGAGTAAATGTTAACTAGTGAACAATTTTAAATCTCTTAACTTTTAGAAAGAGCTAAATATACACTAATATCAATAAAATTTTTTAATAGCATCCTCTTTTAAAATAATCCCTCAGACATCATGTTAAGAATGTAGGCCTTGGTTCCTCTATGAAGCATCCAGGAGGGGTTTATTATCGTTAATTGTTGTGTTTTTGGAAAGAGTAGGTCTCAGAATATACAATATGTTTGCTCCTACAATGAATTATGTTGATTAAATTTTGTATTTTCTTAATAGACTTTTTCATTGCTGTCACTTATAATTTAGTTTTTCCGTCCCAACTTATTAAGCAGGAATCTAATATCAAATTTTAATTGTCTTTTTAAAAGACATACTCAATAACAAAGTATGCATCAATACATTCTCAATTTAAAAAAAACGTCCAAGGCAATAATCATTGCTAATGTGTCTGCTTTTTGTACTTGAATTTTCTTTAAAGACAAGACTATGTTAAGTCAAAGGTCGTCTAGTTGAGATTTTTTCCAGTTGTTGAAGTGTATTGTAATAAAATCAATGATAATCAATAATAATCAGAGTGATGATAGTTCCTGGTTGGATTTGCTCTGCAGAGTGCATTAAGTTAGGAAAAAAAATGAAGATACATTCCGTGGACCAAGGAGCAGAGCACATGCTGATTCTATCCTCAGATGGAAAACCATTTGAACACAACTATAACATAGAATGTGAAAGGTAGGGAACAATTTTTAATTAAAAATTATTTAAATTTTACTTAAAAGGCAATCATAATTTCTGTAGTAAAATATTAATTTATATGATTCTAGCCTTTGCTTTATATAGTGACATCGTAAATAAACAATGAATTCTGAACTGACCATGAGTAAACTACAAACCAATTTATGTTGCTAGGGCACTTACCGTGTGTTGCTTTGATATTTAAAGGAAATGTTTGGTTAGTCTGCTTAGCCCCAAATTGGACTTTCAAATTTATTAACTCATAATAATCCTAGCAATTAGAATTCTAGAATAAAAGTTTTCAACCTAGGAGAAAAATACATTATTGTGGAATGATTTGTGACACTTTCTCCTAGTAGATATTATGAATTAGAAATTCTTTTTATCTTATTAGTATCTTCTTATCATCTTATTTCTGCATCATAAAATTATATTGTTTGCAAAAATCTTAGAATCATCTAAGTAGAATTGTAACTATATAGTGCACATTCTTTTCCTCTTAAACCACTAATTAAAATATCATATTTTTATAATAGTTTTAGAAACACTAAATGTGAAGCAGTACATTGTAATTTTTTTCTTGAGCTTCAATTCTAATTAAATACAATTAATAATTCTAACATTGATGTTGTGACTTTCATTCCTATGGTGATATAAAATATATTTTCTTTCATCAGACTTCAGTGCATTTTACAAGAAAAATATATAATTCAGATCACATGTGGAGATTACCATTCTCTTGCACTCTCAAAAGGTACTTTTCTGCAATATTAATTGTATTTTACAGGAAATGTGTGTATGTGTAGAACTAATAGAATGTCTATGTTTTACTTTATAACAGGACAGAAATATGGTTTTGAATTTAATGTGGTTCAGAGCACTGTTCTTAAAGGAGATATAAAGTGAGAGAACTGTTGGACCTATAAAATCTTTAGATTTCCATAATTACTGTTCCTACAGTAATTTTATTCTGTCAAATGACAAAACAAAAACAATTTAGTAATGAGTTTGATGTTCTTTATTTAAGGGGTAAATGATCCATGAATTGGGGAGTATAGTTCCTCACAAGCAGTGGAGCATTCTTCCTCGAGATTTTGGGCAAGAGCAAATTTTATAGGGCACTAGAAGACCAAATTTGGAAATAGGGAGTGATTGACTAGGGTTGTGTATCTGACTTTATTTAGGAGATCAAGGAAATAAGTATAGAGTCCAGAGTTGGCTTGATATTTGGGGATCGACTGCCTGGATGTACTGTTTTTCTGGTCAAGTAGAGCATGTATAGAAACACGAAAATTTGATTGACATGGCACCCCAGACAGGAGCAGCTCCATCTTGGGTCTAGAGATTTATTTCATCAGTTTCTTGTTTTATTTTTCAAAAATGAAAATATTCTGAATAGTCAAATCATTCTCTCTGTATTCATGACCAGACACACAGGCCAGCCTTTTCCAGAACCTTTTTTACCCTTTTCTTAGTGCTCTTCCAACTCCCATGGCAGAAGCTCAGAGTCCCTTGGCTCTGCTTCTGTGGCCAGTTGGCAGACCCCTGATGGGTTTTCATATTACCTTTGAAATTCAGGCATTCTCCCTAGCCCTTTATTATTTCCTGTTTCTTATCAGACACTATAATGGATTGTTTCCTAAAGACACTTGACCATGGAGGAATAATTAAGATAGGAGGGTGAAAGAGCGAAATTTGGGGTCGAGGAAAATTTTTTTAATGTGTAGGATAGACATAAACTGAATGGAAGCTGGGATTCAAAGAAAGTAAATAATCAAGTATTTGACCTGTTTTGAAGGCCCTATGGAAATTTCAGGGCATGAACTTGTATTGGAAATAATTGGCCTGATAGTTTGACTTCATCCATTCGTGAACATATATTTAATTTTGAGTATCTACCATGTTCAGGTTATGATGGTGAAGCAGACACACTGTGCCTTCTAGAACTCCAGGGTCTAGTGATGTGGCAGGGAGGGGATGTTCAAGGTTTATTGCTGGTAAATCCCATCTAGGAAAAAGGATAGTTGGGGAAACAAGAAATGAAACCGCATTCTCATAATTATATTCTTGGTGGCCAAAAGGTTCATCATGATAATTATGTTAGGAGGACAGGCTCTGCCACTAGATCTTACATAGTATCTTGCAAAGAGGTATCTGGTAAACGTTAATTCTGATATATTTTTCAGGCTTCATTAGTTTTTGTTAACTCTGTTACATATTGGCTAAAAACTTTTCTTTAAAAATATATTTCATATATTCAATTAATGGAAGAAGGTGCTGGTTCTTTTAAGATACTGTGTGGAATTTCAGCTGTACTTTTTTTAATGAATATTTATAGTACCTTTATTGAGAATCAGCAGAAATTAGAAACAAACCAAAGGTACTTTGGCTAGTTAATGAAGAG